GGGGGGGGGAATTAAGTTAATTATATTCTTTTATTTTGACATATTGCCTTTTTCTTGCGCAAATGCAGCTTGGGCGATCAAAGTGGAATGGAAATGTTGGGAGTTCAGGGTTGGTTTTCAAGGTTGAAACCCCTCTTGGCAACACTGGCCGTTCTTCTTTCTCCGTTCAGTTGAACAGCGGGATCGAGTTCTAATCCTTTCCATGCACCAATAGATCCCCCCTCCTGCGGAAAAGTCGCATAATACTGCAATCAACTGTAAATAGCTTATACCCTTCAGTATGGCAATGAAGGATTGTTCTGTGTATAGTTCCTTTAAAGCTTAGGTCTCTTTGGTGATGTTATTATGCTTTAATGGCCAAAAAGGGGAATTTGATCGTTAATAACATAGTATTTCCGGTGTCTGTCTTTTATTTTTTTTTCAAATTTTGCTCGTCGTACCAATTTTGTGCAAGGAGGGGCGTGGTAGAAATTGGATCCTTTATGTTACAATTTAACTGGTTGACTCCTTTTGCTCCAAATTAACTAGTTTTTTATATTTTATTTTTCAGGTTTTAATGAAATTGTCTAAAAAGAAATGTTTACCTTTTGTTTTGTTTTTCGATTGTCAAGAAATATGCTGGAGTTCATTTTTCTTTGGTTTCAGATTTACTTCTATTTTAAACATAGAAGTGTTTAAATCTTAAAGTAATGGTAAATATTTAAATTAAATGAGGCGTTAAATGGTAATAAAGTTAGATGAATTTGTCGAGTATTCACCTGCACAATGTATAGCCATTAGATTGAAATATGAATTTAGTTTGAACTATTGATTACTAACTACTATGTTTTTTGTAATGACACTGGACCGAGATGTTTGAAGTTGGCATATTGGACCGAAATATTTGAAGTTGGTAAAGATTCAACTTAAGGACAATTTGTCCCAGTGTTGTGTCTTCTCTTTGTTGTTGTGCCCAGTACCCCCCTGCTATGTTTCTGGATTAATTTTGGTCAACCAGGAGAGGAGCTTAGACTTTAAGATATAGTACCACAGTTACAAGGGCTCGCCACTCTAAGGTAGAATTAAGCAGCAGCACATTTTTTTCCAACTTATATTAGCTCCTAATCTAATGCATGAAATTGCTTCTGCAATAAACTTCCAGTTTTCCTTGGTGGCGGACTGCACGTGTTCCGACTATGGAGGTTGCCTATTTTATAATTAATAACCGCCAAGCCAAATATACCCCTGTACTTTCGAAAATGGTCTAAGAATACCCCTCGTTATACTATTGGGCTATATATATACGCTTCCCGTCATACTTTGGAACAAATATACCCTTATTTTGGATGGAGTGCCACGTGTCAGCACCAGATGAAAATGACCCATTTCTTTTTTTACCCGATCCGTTTTAAAAAATTCACCACCCGACCCGTTTTAAAATTCAGTTTTTTTAAAGCATATATTTTGTAAAAACTGAAAAAAAAAAGAAATTTGCAAAATATATATTTTTAAGTCTTCAGTTTTTTTAAAGTATTCTTTTTGTAAAAACTGAAAAAAAAAAAAAAATTTTAAAAATGCTTTAAAAACTGAAAAATATATATTCTGTAAAAACTGAAAAAAAAAGAAATTTACAAAATATATATTTTTAAGTCTTTTCAGTTTTTTTTATAGTATTTTTTTTGTAAAAACTGAAAAATAATATTTTTTTAAAAAACTGAAAAAACAAAGACTCTCCTAAAGCAGTGGACTACATATGCATTAGTTTTTAAAAAATAAAAATATTTTGCAAAATCTTTTTTTTTCAGTTTTTACAAAAACAATACTTTAAAAAACTGAAAAATATATATTTTGCAATTTTTTTTCCAGTTTTTACAGAATATATATTTTTCAGTTTTTAATTTTTTTTTTTTTTTTCAGTTTTTACAAAAAAAGTACTTTAAAAAAACTGAAAAGATTTAAAAATATATATTTTGTAAATTTTTTTTTCCCCCAGTTTTTACAAAAAAAAATTTTAGTTTTTACAAAATATATGCTTTAAAAAAAACTGAATTTTAAAACGGGTCGGGTGATGGTTTTTTTAAAACGGATCGGGTAAAAAAAATGGGTCGTTTTCATCTGGTGCTGACACGTGGCACTCCATCCAAAATAAGGGTATATTTATTCCAAAGTATGACGAGAAGGATATATATAGCCCAATAGTATAACGAGGGATATTTTTAGACCATTTTCGAACGTATAGGGGTATATTTGGCCCTTTGCCGATTAATAACCACGATGGAGAGGGAAGAAGAAGAAGCAACAGCCACTGTGCTTTTGTCTGAAGTTCCTCTCTTCGGGCTAAATTTTAAATATTATAAAAACAAATTGGTCGGGCTTAAATAGGGATGTTCAAAGCGGCTACTTGGTGCCCGTCCCACATTATCGTTATTTTGCGGAATTTGCCAGCGAGAATTGGTCGCAGAAACAACAAATATGGTCTTTTATGGTTTGGGGGTAGGTTTAATATAGTTCCTTAAATAGACTCTTGAATAATTTTGGTTGTTTGGGTTTGTCAAAAATAAGATATTTAGATTCTCCGTCAAATAGTTAATAAACGAGAATTATGAAAAAAAATATTTAACTATTCAATACCCAGGGAAAACAATATACTTGATGTAAACGGAAACAAGCATTTCCGCAAAAATTAGAGAGTTCTTGTCCCGTACATAAGTCTGACATCGATCTATATTCTCGTTACTATTGAAAATGTGTAAATTTGCACCAACTGGTGCTTCCTTACTATTTTACACACAACTATGGTAAGTATAATCATTCGAATTAATAGGCTAACATAAAACAAAAAATACGGCTAAAGTGGTAGGTAAGCCTATCCATGAAACTACTTTCCGCTGGCAAACTGCATCCGCATCTTTAATTTTGCAACATCATCAATTGATAAATTAGGAAATTTGGTGGAGCCATCAGTAGGATTCATAATTGCCTCGAGCTCTGCAGCTTCAATGCTCTCTTTTCTGGCAATTGGATCGTCTTTAGCTACCTTTCTTTTGACTCGGCAAAGTACATAATTATCTTTGTCGTATCCCTGAAAATAGAGATTCAAGTGTCTGAGTAATTTAGCATAATATATGTATGATCATGACATTGTTTATTTAATTAATATTTTTAGTTAACAGCTATTAATATTATGATAAACGTGCGAAAAAAAAAGAGATTTTAGAATATTAGAAATTATTTTCTGGAAATATGTTTGGGGATAAAGAATGGACTATTTAATAAGATTGCGAACTAATTAAATACTTCTTAAGAAGCTAATTAAAGAAGAATTAACAAGCTAAGCTTTTGAAAAACTGAGTTTGAAAATCATTAAAAGAAACTTTCTTAATACATAAACAGCTCAAACAAAAATTTTTAATTAGAAAAACTCAAAGATTGAGTTTGCAAACTCAGTTTTCTCAGATCATCAAACGAATGCCACCTCAAAAAATAAAAAATTCAGCTAATTGCTGTTGGTTTTCTGAAAGATTTAAAAAGATTTCAAAAAATTCTCCTTTTTTTGTTGCAAAAAAATGGTTAAACAAAGCAAAAGCTCAAAAATTGCGATTGCAAACTCTGACATAATCACCACCTAGAAAAATTGAACTCCAAAATATTTGGGTTAAATTAAACCTGGATTATAATTGAACAATACTAATGTCACCTCTCCCCAAACCAAACATTCTTTCCCATGCAAGCAAAACATACATTAAAACAGCACCATATATAGAACAAATTAACTCTGTGTGTCTCAATTTATGTGATACCTTTTGGATCTCGAGAGTAAAACTTCTTAATTTTGATCGTGAATTTCGACATAAAATTTTTAAATCTGTTGAAATAAAATTACATAATCGAAAACTACGCTAAAAGTACCAAAAGTCACAATAATTAATAATTCAAAAAATTACAGCCAAAGAGAACTAACTCTCGAAATTCTAATGGTGTCACATAAATTGGAACAAATGGAGTACGTAAAAGAGGAGTAATCAAGAAATTATGAATGTGAACTTACTCGAGAACGTTGATGTAAGATCTTCTTGACCTCATCAGTAAGAGAATATTCTTTCATAAGCCACTGGCCATCTTGAGGTGAACCTGAATTCTGGTACCTTAGGCTTCTTTTATATCCCATAACTGAACCTTTTTCACTACACACAGGTTTCCCTTTGTCTTGAGATTTCCAAGAACCTTTACCTACACTTCGAATAAACCTTGAATTTTCTATCTTTTTTTTCTTCAACTCCGTGAAAAAATATAAAGTCCTCTCTTTTCTATCTTTAAAAACAACCCATGGTTCTTTGGAATAAAGATCTTCTTCTTCAATTGGAATTAATTCAGGTAAACGTCCCTTTAATACATACTGTAAAAGATATTTCACCAATTCTGTATCTGTTGGGTGAAATCGAAATCCCTCCGTATGTACAGAATTTTCAATGCACAACTCTTTTTCTTCTCTTTTAATGTTGTGCATAATTGTTTGCGAGGTGCTAGGCAATTGAGACATGTCTAGAAGATTTATTTATGGAATAAGGGGAAGAGGGAGTACTGTGCATGGGTGTATTTATAATTGACGTGAGTTGGCTACATTTAGTAGTTTGTGTTGTTTTATAATTCGGAGAGGACTAGGAAAAGTTAATTTAAAATCCTGTTAGGTTTAAGAAACTTAATTTTGGACAAGCTATTACTAGTATAAGTTTGTGTTGTCTTATAATTCTGAGAGGACTGGGAGAACCCCAAAACCTTGTAATGGTAGGAAACCGCCATTATTTGGTCGTCGGCATTTTATATATATACATGGTAATTATTTTTGAAATTGGAAAGAGGATCGTAAAGTTGGAAAGCAGACTTACTAGGAAATAAGACTTACAAATGGGCATCTCAGCTGGAGAGACGTAAATATGGGCTGGCTGGGATGGTTGGACTAAGTTTTTTGGACCCCATATAAGAACAAGGTTTTTCTAAATTGGTCCAAGTAAGCTCACGGGCCACGACTCATGAGGCTTTATCGAGGTTAGGCCAGTCCGTGCCAGCGGGCCTAATAAAATATATTTAGCTAAAAGTATAAAAAGTAAAAGGAAATTGGAAACTAAAAATAACAAGAAGAGTAGCACAAACTCAAAATCCACTTAGCCCATGATATTTAAATATCAAAATCTTAAAGTTTAAAATTTAAATATAAAGTAAATTTATTAAAATTATGAAATAAGTAAATAATAAAATTCTAAATTTCTTGAATCCTAAAAAGAGCCTGCAAGCAGCAAGCAACAACGACTTTTCAGCCGTTGCACGCTAGCTTATAGTTTAGGGGTATAGTAGGGGTGCCCCTTTCTCAGGGGCATGAGTACACTGCTTTCACACTCGAACTCTTCTACTGACCCCCCATTTTCCGCTTTTCTTTCTTTCATCTTCCGCATCTTTTGAGCATATTCAGCTTCCAAAATTCCCGGAGTCCCTATGCTACGACATTATCACAGAAAGAAAATACGGCTAGTAGATAACTATTTTGTTATTGTAGAAAGCGATCAGTTCTTTTGATCTTGTTGATCCTTCTCTCCTCTTGCTCGACGAACCAACTTCAGGCCTTGATTTGTCCTCCGCAAGGAAGGAACGAGTCGGTTCCCCTTTCCATCTTTCGGTAACATAAAGAAAATAGATTCAAATTGACAAACCACCAAAAGAGTGAGAAAACAGGAGCACGTGTACATTAAGTCATGTGCAACAAACAAAGTACAAGGATAGCATCGTACCCTCGTAGTCCTCAATCTTTGGCACATCTGGATCGGCATCGACAAAAACTCACTCGGTCTACGCGTCTACGGGGCACCATACTTACTTTCTATTTTTATGACCAAAAATTTTCCTTTATTTTCATATTAAATTGTTCTCTGAACTTTTTATCAATATGAGGTGATTGTAACTCTACTGAATTCCTGACAGCAAACGAGCGGAATACTTGACCCAGGAAATTTTCCGAGAAAGAGGGATCTCCGAGATTCATGGGAGATATGTGTAGCACTCTCTTGTGACAAGCGGGTTCAAATGTGCTTACCGAAGATAATATGACAGTGTTGTTAAGCATGAGGCACTTTTATTTGCTTATTTTAGGGCGACAAACATGTACTTTCACATGCATACTTGATTTGAGTAACGTTGAAAATTATTTTGATTACTTTAACGCAAAATCTCTACCGACTCTGGTTTGTGTAAATTCACATCGTTTAAACTATTAAAGTCATACTTTTATTACTCATTATCATTCATTCTTGACAATAAGAAATACAAGGAGAGGCAACAATAAGCTTAATAAAGTGAAGAAAACATGCAATATTCTTGAACAACAAACTATATTTCCAAATAAGATCAATCTCTCGTCTGATATGCTGAATCCACTACCACGAAATCTTGTTCTTTTGGGCATTCCTTTTAGTTCTAAGAACTGTCATTAGCCTTTTTCCTGGTAAAAGCACAGGCCGACAAAATATCAAAGCGAAACTTAGCTGAGTCAAGAATAGCATAATCCCAATCCATACAAAAACAGTTCTTCTCCAAAGCCATATAATTCTCTTTATATGAGGAAGCTCTGATTCCACATGTAAGGCGGCTGCATATATTTCAGGTATACCTGCGCCTTCTAGTTGGTACTCAGCTCTTTTTTCAAGAACAACTTTAAAACATGCTGTAGGCTCGAAACCTTCTGTGAAATCGTTGATGACAAGTTTCAAATTCTGGACTTCTGATTGAAAACCAGTAACAAGAGGGATGCTTTTTATTGCGGTTTCGACAATTCGGATTGGTTGGCTTTTGAATTTTAACATGCTTGGATAGCTTGAGGTTGCTGTTACTTTGCCATCTGCTGACAAGCAGTCCACCCTTACCTTCAGGGACAAAAGCCAGAGGTTCAGTTATACATGGATTGTAATGCAGGAACTGTTTCTAGTTAAATATTTTCAAGGTAAAAGAAGAATGAATCTCAATAGCGTGACGACATTTTTATTATTTTATATTTTAAATCAGGTATTTTGATACTCATATTCTTATTCCAAATCCTATTTTGCAAAAAAAAAAAAAAAGGTTCCCGCATAACTTATGCAGGTATTATTTATATATGCGTAACACAAAAGAAACAATCAAACAATGCACTATGTAATTATATTGAGTTTAATGCAAAGATTAAATCTCTTATTGCACGCACCAACTAAAACAGGTCATAAGCATCTTTTTCTATAAGAATAGACAATAGAATTGTATATTTTTAGCTGCTTCCAAAAATAATATCCGACGAAATATATATTTTTTGATTAATATAGTGATATGTAGTACAAATTTGAGATGATTTTGTTAAGAAAAATGACTTCTGCCCTAATATGAGGGGAAGTCGTTTGAAAAAATTTTCTCCATAAAAATATTTTCCCGTAACCAAACACTAGAACATCCTTTGAAATATATTTTCCTGTCAATACCAAACGCACCCAAAAATTAAAAAAACAGAAAGAAAAAAGGCAAGAGTACCTGGAAAATCCCAAGCTTTCTGTTGTACTCAGATTCAGGCATGGTTAATGAAACAATAAGCTGCAACTTGTGATTATAAGGTATGGGCCTGTCTACAATTTTTGGTTTGGAAATCAAGGGAGTAGAGAGAGCAGCAGCTGATGCAAGCGGTACAAAAGCAACAGGGCTAGTTTTTGTGTAATCAAAATTCAACGTCTTTGTTGTCTCAATTGGTTCTTCCACCAAACGTCTCATAGTAACTCCACTTATCACAAATCCCATTACCAACAAACCAACCAACAAAAAACAAACATAGACTGCCCAGAACAGAGCCCAACAAAACCTTACTGTCAATTTCAACACAGATTTTTGTGCCTTAATCTGACAGAATACAAATGACATCAAACTTAACCAAGATTTCGTGCCAAGATTCATCAGCTGCTTCTTTAATTGCTCTTTGGCTAATGTTAGTGTTTGAAATGGTAAGGTCAAGATCATTATCCAATAGTTCATTAAAGAAATAGGAAATGTGAAGAGTCTTACCAATAGATTCATTTGAAATCCAACTAGTTTGAACATCATTACTGTAAAAAATGCAGTGAAATCGAACGATAATTCAGTGTTATAACTTCCTGAAGGACAAGAGTTAACCACTTTTGGCATATCAAAATGCTCTTTACATGACTCAATTGCACATGATTTATTATCCTGAAGAGGTGATTTCCCTTTGTTTCTCCTTTTTTCACGAGCAGTCTCTTCGTCGGTCCATGAACTTAAGCTGGAGCATGAAAATGGTTTTTGAGATTTTCGAACCATTAAAACCTTTTCAGCTCCGAGAAGCAAAGAATACTTCATCAAATTCATGAGAAAATTTGGTGATTTTTTGTGATCTTTGCAACTTAATCCAAGAAAATTACTATCAATGCCAACAGCATTTTCACAAATTCTTGCTTGTTCATCCATTGATATAATAGGGAAGATGAATTCAAGAATTGGATAGTGAAAAAAGAGGTGACAAAGAGGGACTTCCCTGTGAAAATTGTTACTGATCGCAAGAGGCCTATATTTTATAAGGAAGAAATCAATAATTTTTATTTTCTTGGAATGCTAAACAAATGGAGGGTTCACATTGGTAGATTTGCTAGTTGCATTAGCCAATGGCACAATAAAATAAATTTGGTACATTGTCTTCTGATGACTGGAATTCTCAGCTCAACTTTCATTGTCACTGCTTCAGGATAATTTATGCTGCAGTGTAACACACATATCGACATGCCCGCTTAATTCCCTGGAAACTTAGAAATCAATAGTTAAAGGTTAAACCGAAACAAATAAAGAAAGAAGAAAACATCATAGTAAGAGAATTCATGGAAATTTTATTTGGTTAATTATTTTTTACTACAAGCCTTGGAGTATATTATAATTATATTACTTCTATCTAGGTAGAATATAGTCCAAAATGTCAGATCTTTTATGGCAGTGGCACGCACACCCAGAGAAATTGTGACTTTCCGCATCTCAAGTTTCTTTTGTATTTTTGGCTGGATGGGAATCCATAACATATACTACCTTGCATTAAATTTTATTTAAAATATTTACAGAAAATAATTAAGGTTACAAAAGCACAAAGCAATGGCTATAAATGCTGTCACATAATTAAAAATATGGTACAGTTTCTATTTTTCAATCTTTTTATATGAATGGTAAATCTTTCCAATTCACTTTAAATGAGATAACTCACGCAATTCAATATGGTTTCAAAGATATGATGAATCTCTGCCTACACGGTACTGTTATAGGTTGTTTACAATTTGATATTTACAATATGGAATAGTAATCAAAATTTACATCTAATAAGGATAATATGTACTACTTTCAAAATGATCAATGGTTCATATCACAATTTCTGATTTTTTTTCCTCTTTTCTTCTTTTTTCTTTAGAGAAGCGAAACGATCTAACTTACAGCTTGTTTGGATGGTTGTTACCCATCGTTTTATAATGTATTATATCGTAT